TGTGTGTGTGTGTGTGTGTGTGTGTGTGTGTGTGTGTGTGTGTGTGTTGGCCTTTTCCAGAAACAGTGCATTGCACAATCTGGCTGAGGCTGTGGTGGGCAGGGTGTACAGGTAAGGGGGTAACCACTCCCCCACCTGGGGCATGCGATCTGTTTGCTTCCTGCCAGCACACCTGCCATGATTCTAGGCAGAAGTGACGCAGAGGGAGGCCCTCGGCCTACGGGTACTCCGGGAGCTAAGGGATTAGTGACCAGCAGACTACCCCACTCTGAGAGGAAGAGGCGGCTCTCTAGGATACCCGATCCTCTCCAGGGGCAATGCTGCTGATTAGGGACTGGCAGCCACTAAGAGGTCAGTGGGGTAAGCAGGCAGACCTGCAGAGCCAGCCAGCCTCAGGGGTCACAGGATACATTTCCTACTTGCACAAAAGGTCACAGGGTCTTAGCCAGGAAGTACCCGTATCAGCACTGGTCATGAACAGGTATCAAGCCCCAGTGCAGTCCATACCGCTAGAAGTAAATAGCCAAGCAAGCAGGGCAGCTGTAGGACTCACATAGGGAGTCTGGAACCCTTAATATCATGCTGATAGGATTTGTCTGCCTGAAACACAACACCAGGCATACTGGAACAAAACCCTTTGTGTCCTAGGGCCCTGATAGAGACTGAATCTATCTCTGATTTCCTAAGACTACATTGAAGACTACATTCAGGCAGGATGGACCTGAGGTGCCTCAGCCCAGGCCTTGACTGGCAGGGCAGGCAGACAGGCGGAAGGACTGTCATTCTCCAACTGGACCCACAGCTTGCCTGTCAGCTGGGAGTGCTTGGGAAGAACTGGAGGGCTGTCTTGACACTCTCCTTTAGACCCTGGGAAACTCCTGTCCCCTCTAAGGCTTCACTTCTACCTTGTGCTGCCCTCAAGGGACAGTCCACCCAAGAGCGAAAGCGCAGATCCAGAACATTACACAGGTGCAGAGCTGGGCTTGCATCACCTTGTGGTGGCTTGGAGAAACACACCTGAACAACCAAAATCTGCTTTCCAAATTCCCAAGAACGGTTGCAGGCCCCTTGGGCCCCAGACCAGACCCAGGCGAGCCTGGGTCTTGTAGCTCAGGCAGCATGAAATAGAAGCGATGGACACTGAATCCCTAGCTGTTGGACTTGGGTACATGAGTCTGCATTCCCATGTATGCTGTGCTGGCCAACAGCATGCTGCCTTGCTCGGTGAGACAAAGACCTACGTGGGAACTGTGTTCCTCCCTCACGCCACACCAGAGACACTTACACGGAATCTGACCGCACCCCACTCTAATCATTCCATGCATGTTCAGCGACCACAGGTCTGAGGCCCCACCCTGAGCCTCAGGAGGCCTCCAGGGACCCAACAAGGTCTAGCTGTTTATCTCCTGTCCTGTCCGGTTATAGTTCCCGCCTCCTAGCAAACGTGTGGGTCCCAAGGGCTGACATTTCGCACATACCCCTGTGTCTGCTCTGGTAGTACTCGCCCAGCTGCCCTCCATGTGTCTGCTCTTGATGAGATCTACAGCCCCTGAGCACTGCATTGCAGTGCGTGCATGATCCTAGGCTGCCCGTGGGCTGCTCAGCCTCCCTTCCGGCCTTAGGGGGCAGTGGGCTATCCAAACTTGCTTGCCAATGCCTGGGCACCTCCAGGTCCCTCTCACTAATTCATACATCCATGCACTCACTCTTTCGTACAGTCATTCACTCAACAACTTGGCCATCCATGCCTTCATGCACTCACACGTTAATCCACACATTCATTCATCGTCTGCTCATTCATTCACTCATCTTCTCATTCACTAATTCATTCACTCATTCGCTCAATCATTTGTCCACTCACTTCCTAGTTCACTTATCTACCCACCCAAGACACTCACACTCACTCACGCCCTCCCTCATTCAAGCACTTTGTTACTATTGCACTAATTCATTAATTCCATCGGTCACTCACTTATCCACTCATCCACTAATCTTATTCATAGTTCATTTTCTCACTCGATTATTCCTCCACTCTAATTCACTTACTCGTCCACTCCATCACTCACTTCCTCATTTATTCACGAATTCAATCACTTACTCATTCACTAATTCGCTCACCCATTCATTCTCTCCTCGTTGTCCTCTCCCAGGATGCCTTTGACTCTGAGCATCGGCCAGGCTTTTGTTTGCTTTTGTGTAGTTACTGTCACCTTTTGGGACATATCCTCTCAGCAAATAGAGACAAAGAACTCCCCAGTGGCCCTCACTGGGCCACTAGACTCCTACTGAACAGCCTGAAGTATAAGCCCCTGTTGTTCAGGCCTTTTAGTTCTTGTATCTATGGACATTTTTTTTTTTTAAGAAAACACACACACACACACAATCCACAAATGCTCTGAGTGTATTTATAAAACATATTAGTCATTTCCTGAGGTGGGGATGGGGACAGAGCTGCAGGGATGAGCTGAGAGTGAGGCCAAGCAGCTGATACCCGCATCTAAGTGACGTTCATTCATGGAAGCCTTTGGTGATAATGGAGTTCTGCCCATAGCATCCATGATCCTCATGCTCCTAAAAAGTGAATAGGGGCCTCTTCCGCCTCCAAGAATAGCTGGGATCGATGTCCCCCTTGAGGAGGAAGTGGTGGGTAGGTAGAAGCCCGGAATTCAAGCCACTTGAACAACAGCTCGTGTGCTGCTGGCCTCAGGAGGACTTGCTGGTGGCGTGTCGGGAGGACTGCAGCTCAGTTTACTGGGAAGGCCCAAACACCTCCTCGCTGGCCCTGAAGGCTGACTGCTGGCCGTGTTCCTTACTTTCCTTGGACTTGAACTCTGTTTCTGAGGACTCTAAGTGGCTCGTGTCACCCGGAGCATGGCACTGCTGGCCCAGGCAGCCACACTTCTCAACCTGGGTCAAGCTGAAGGTACGACTGGAGCCATCATCACAGAGAAGAGTCACATTTTTCTGCGAGGTCTGAAGCTCCTGGCAGCACTCACATTTCTGCTCCACCATGTTGGCCTCCAGGGAGTATCTGTGGGTAGATCTGCTCAGCACTGGGCCTTGCTGGGAGCTGCCTGCACCTGCCACAGGCTCTGTGTCCAGCGGGCACATTGCCAAGCCCTTATCACCATGTTCACGACCCTACTGGCTCACTTGCGAGTTGCCCTGGGGTAAACGTTTCTACCACAGCTGCCCTTGGCCACCAGATGTCCTAAGTCTGCAGCCAGATGCACAGCAATCATTGTTGAGCGATGGGGGTTTCTATCTCTGAGGTACTTCCACAAACAGAATATTACTTTAAAAGTAGTCACTATAATCCAAGCCTCTTAGAAACCTGCTGACACTACCCTGGGCTTCCCAGTTATCCTCTGGAAACCCTACAACCCTCCTTCTCACCCTTCTATCTGTCCTGTTTGCTCTGCTTCTGGGCCTGAGTGGACCAAACAACCCCACACCACCCCTGTCACCAATTGCATCTCTGAACCATGTCCCCTGGGGCTCTTACATGGAGGTGCTGTCCCCACAGTTGCCCTGGCAGAAGGAGAGGCTCACGGGACCCTCAGAGCTGCAGTTTTGCTGACGGATGATCTGCTGTCTATGGTGCACCGAGCATTCTGGGGGTACAGGAAATGAGGCAGAAGGTCAGTGTCCATTCAGTAATTTCCTGGTTGTCCAGGCTGGGCTCAACCCCTTCCTTGTCAGATCCCCACTTACTCTTCTGGGGTATGGTACAGTCATAGCAGCAACCATCTTCTCTCAGCTTAGCCTGGCCCTGTGCCAAAAATGGGCCGTTGTGAATGCCAGAGGCAATGAGGCATTGAGAAATGGAGGAATGAGACATGGGGCCAAATGCACACGAGAAGAGCGGGGACCCTCTCCATGAGAGGGGTTAGCCTGCTGGCCTTGCAGCTCTGCGCCCCCTCAGCTCCGGGTGAGCTGGCTCCTTAGCTGGAGTGGGGAAGCCTGAACTTACCGGTGGACAGTTGACCTTGGGGCACTCTTGCTTCGTCGTCACAACCATGAAAGTATCTTGGAAGCTCTCACACTTATGAGTCACACATGGGTTCCCGGGTTCTTTCCAGGACTCACCAGGCTGAAAGGAGGCTCAGCATTAATAGTGGGTGCCCATCCTCTGTCTCCCCACAGCCTATTAGCTTCCAAAGAGACACTGGCATAGGCCAGGCATAGGTCTACCAGGTATGGCTTCCCAGGTGCCCCACAATAGGACCCTGTCTATTCAGTCTGGAATCCCCAGGATCCTGCCTGATCATCCCTGAGTCTCCAGGACTTAGGCTACTCAGGATCCAGTACCCCCAGGACCCTGTTTGCTTAATTCACAGATGCTGTCCATTTCATGCTTTCTATACTTGGACCAGGGACTTTGCAGTCCTCTGGGGAGTGTTGTGACTTTGCCCCAGCCCGTGTGGAGCCTTTGCAGAGCCCGTGGCCTGCTGTTCCCAGCATCTAGTCCCCCTTCTTGAGGTCACCTAGCATAGTCCCAGCTACTCACAAGGTAGAAGTAGGTGGAGTTGTTGCTGTTTTTAAAGGGGCAAGTCTTCTGCACACACTGGCCACAGCACTGCCCTGGCTTGTCCTGGTACTCAAAGCCCTGCAGGAAGAATGGTGTGCGGCCTGAGTCCAGGCCATTGGCACAGGATGATGAGAGGAGAGGCGGGACCAGAGCTCACCTTAGCACAGCCGGTGTCACAGTGCTCGGCCTCACAGCTGACCACAAAGGCACCTGAAAGGGGATTGCTGGACGCCTCACACAAGCATGTTTCACACAGGCTGAAGGAGACCACAGCACCAGGCTGGAAAGAGTCAGGGCTGGGCATTAGTGGGCTCAGGCTGGAAGGAGATCTTCTCTACACTCTGACTGGCCAGTTGCCCTGGCTGCCCACCAAGCTGGCTCATTCCTTAAGAGTGATCCTTGGTGTTACCTCATCGTGAAGAGACCAAACAACCCAGGTTCTGTCACGGGACAGAGCACAGACATATAACTATCTCTATGTCAGGTGACCCATACACTTGGGGAACTGGCATGGGAAAAGTACCGCTGAGAAAAGTGATGGCATAGCCAGCAATGATTTCAGGGGACAGAGAGCTGCTAGAATCCTTATGGTCTAAGACACCAGGTATTGGCAGCTTCAAGGATACTGGGGTCAGCTTTAACTGTACTGCTCTAAGCTATGTCTCCACAGAAGCTTGGATCATTGATCTGGGCAGGAGCTGTGTTCCAGGGTCTACAGAGGCTCAAGAGCACCCCAGCTTCTCAGATATCCACTTGAGCACCTAAGAGCTGGTGGGGAACCCCAAGTGGGAACTCAGCCCCTGTAGGCTTTGAGGCCTGAGCACCGTTGCTTCCTACCTGATATAGAGTTCCGTTGACTTCGCAGCCAGTCTGACCTGTCCAAGAGACACGATGGTTGTAGCCTGGGCCTTGCAGGGCACAGCCTGGCTCTGGCATCAGTAAATGCTGCTGCTAGACACTGGAGCACGTCAGGCTTCCTTCCCACCAAAGCAACCACACCTCTCCAACCATCATCTGGTCATCCCCCTGGGAAATTTCAGGCCCTGGTGTGACTGGGCGCAAGGGTCAGGGTACTCACTGCTGCAGTTTTGGCTCGGGCAGCAAGCTCCCTCTTCATATGTGACCACCAGGCTAGAATTCTCCGGGCAGTGCAGAGGAGGGGGGCAGTAGCTGGAGTTGCAGACTGTGGGTAGAGAAAGCTGTCAGGGGCCAGGCTTACTCTCTATCTGCTTGTTTTCTGCTCCCAGGGCCTACCCCACCACAGGATGTCATGACAGCTCCCAGGACCCAAGGACCAGGCTCTGCAGGCTGGGCAGAGGATTCTCCACCACACACACCTCAAGAAAACACCTGCTAGGAGGTTGCCAGAGCAGAACACAGTAAGGTCCCTATGCTCAGGCAGTGTGCGTAGCCTGGGGAGCGTGGTCTCTCTCCTTGCCTCCCGGGCCTGTGTACACAGAACTGGCTGCTGACCTGGTGCACTCATGACTCCTCAAGGGACAGTCCTACCCATGGGTATGGGAACAATAACAAAGGCTCACCACAGCTGAACCTGGGACAACACTGGCCAGCCTCCAGGGCCACAGGCACGGGCACAAAACCAGGTTCTGGACAGGTGGGCTCAGGGCAGAACTTCCTCTGGCAGGTCAGCGTGCCGTCTTTACAGGTGCAGTCCTTGCAGTCCACGCTGATGGTACGGCCCGGCTGTGGGGGAATGACACATGAGCCTGACCTGCGAGTGAGCCACGCAGCTCAGGGGCAGCTGCAGCCAAGCCTCAGAGTCACGTCCCACATGGACTGAGGGGCTGTGCAGCAAGCCTAGGAAAGAGGGCTTCAGAAGGTCAAGGCCTGTAGCACAGAGGCCAGGAGCAGAGGTGGGGAAAGGGGCTTTGCTTGGTGAGCAGCCCTCTCCTGCACCTCATCAGGAAAGAAGGAGTTCCAGGAAAGAACAGGCCTCATGAGATACCCCGCGGCTCCAGAACACAGCAGGGCAGGCCCCAGAGAAGAAGGCCTCCCTGGAAACTGTTGGGACACCAGTACTTTCCCTGCCTTTATCTGGTCTTTGGCACGCTAAGAAAGCTACGCCCTAGGTCTGCCCTGCCTTTGTTTTCAGAACCTCCTGCCTCAGGCTCTGGCCCCCAGAAACCACCACCATTCATACCTACCTCCACAGGTTTCCCATCAGGCCCCAGACACCCTGTAAAGAGAAGTCCTGTCATTTTGGGTGGCCACAGGGATGGAGCCAGAATAGCACCCATGTTGGCCACCACAGTGAGTCAAGCCACATCCCGCCCTTCCAAACTCGCACTCCATGCCCTTGGGGACGTACATTGGCAGGAAGGCACGCAGATTGAATCATTAGTACTGAAAAGTGTCATGTTGTCTGGACAGAAGCAGCCCTCTGTGGTGGGGCCAGCCTCCTGAAGGATCCTGTAAAAAACAGAATTGGTGTGCCTTTACCCCTAAGTAAAAAAGAATCCAGCCTAGGAGAGCCAAATGCCAGAATTGGGTACCCAGGGTGTGCCAGCCCTGGGCAGAGTGCTGACACTTACAAGCTGCTGCTGATGTCATCATTACTGTAACAGTAGTGAGGGGTAGATGGACCACAAGACTGGTATACTTTGTTAGCAGGACAGGTGAATGCTGCATGGAGAGAAAGCCACCCCTGAGAAGCCATCTCAAGCCCCCACTTCAGGGCTCCTCCAAGCCCCAGCCATTGCTGAGTGCTGACACCAACTCAAAAGCCTTTAGTGACTACCTACAACCTCCCATCCATCTAGGTCAGTGGTTCCCAACTTTTCTGATGCTCAGACCCTTCAATATAGTTCCTCATGTCACGGTGACCCCCAAACATAAAATTATTTTGTTACTACTTCATAACCGTAATTTTGCTACTGTTATGAATCATAATGTTAATATCTGATAGGTAGGATATCTGATATTCGACCCCTCAACCCACAGATTGAGAACTGCTGGTCTAGGCCCTTAGTTCTATTGTTTGCCCAAGACAGCTAACACCGTAGGCCCTAAGTCCAAAGATACCACAACTTGATAACCCTCTTTCTTGCAGACAAGCCCAAAGCCTTTCTCCCCCCCGGAAAGACTGGCCCTCTGTCTGGATGTCCTTCTCCTCAGCCAGACTGTCTGCCTAGTTCCTGTAACTGCTTACAACAGAGGACAGGAAGGTGACCGGGCTGGGCACTCACGGCAGGTGTTGTTGGTCTTGCTTCTCCAGGAGATGCACACGCCTTCGGCTGCACAGAGTGATGCATAGAGCTCCAGGCCTGAGCACACCACCTCCAAGTCCAACACATTGCAGTAGTCAAATACGCAGCCTTCATAGAACACCAGTGGAGGGATGACGTCATGGCAAGCCTGGAAGACTCTGTGGGTAGGCAGAGACAAACACAGTGGTGGGTGCATCCATTCTACTCAGGGTACCACACACAGTGGGGGCTTCTAGGTCGGTGATAGCCCCTTGGAGGTGAGTTCCTGGACAATGATTCAGCACCCATAAGCCTGTCTTTCAACCCAAGGGGCATCCACCTCTATGTGTGCCAGGAAAGGCATCAGCCAGACCATTGCTTCCTGCCAATGCCTCTCCCCTCATTCTCCCTTATTCTGCAACCCGGGGTGCTGCCCAGGTACAGGCAGTGACTGATGCCCGTATCAGTGGAGAGGAACTGGCAGAGGACTCCAGAGATCAGCCAACCTGGCCAAGGCCAGCCCTGAAGGTGCATCCCAGCAGCAACCACTGTCTGACAAGATCCCCAGAGACCATGCCCAGAGCCTGGAACAAGGCAGGTCTCGTTTCTCTTGGAAGCCTTTTAAGGACCCTGTAGCTTTTGGCAGATGGAGCTGGCAAGGCTACCCCATTTCCTGGAGTCTTACTCGCTTAGGATGATCTGACAGATTGGCGATGGTGGGCACACGGTAGGTGAAGGCTTGGGTACTGAAGTTGGCTTTGGCGAAGGCCCTTGGCAGGAAGGGTGGGGAACCTTCCAGTGGAGAGACATCTCAGAGCAAGAGGAGGCTATTGCCCCTCCAGGCAGGCGGCATTCATCCTTCTTGTCATTAGTGCAAGTGCCTACAGATGAGACAAGGGTCAGCCAGCTGGGCAGCAGAGCTGTGCCCAGTGTACTCTTGTTGAGGATCTTGCGATACAAAACTGGCATCTTGTTTTGTATCCTGTGCATCTGGCTGCCCCAGAAGCCAGTTTGGTTCCCTGTGTACAGGGAAGCCGCCAGGGAACAAGCAGATGTGAACCATATTTCCGCACAGTGTGAAATCCCTCTAGGCCCCGGGGAGGCTGCCGCTGACAATATCCAGAGCGGAGCTTACCGCATTGGCCCTCTGTGTTGTTGGCAAACAAGTTGAAGGGCACCTCGACAGAGAAGATGAGGCCTGAAAACATGACCTGGACACCAATCTCTGGGATGGAAACATACATCTTGATACCCACACGGGAGACGACAATGCCGTTCTGCTGGAAGCCAGGACTGACTACCTTGTTGTTGAAGATGATCTGGACACCACAGCAGAAGAAAGGTTAGGATTAGGGTCCCCATCCCAGACCAAGCCTGACACAATCCCCACCCACCCACACGTGACAGATACCCACCTGGTTAGTCATGACCCCATCAACTGGCCTGCGGGTCAGCACCACATGGTCCTCGTGGTACTCGACAATGATGGACTGCGGGCAGGAAACACTGTCTCCCAGGTCACAAAAGTAGTTGTCAATGAGCACACGGAAGTGTCCGAACACGGGCACAATCTGCTTCACCAGCACATATGTGCAGTTATCCAGGAAAGTGTAGTAGGTGCCATCAAATGTGATGTAATGGGGGTCGCCCCAGCCGCTGCAAACGCCTGTGGGTGCCAGTTAGCTTAGAGCAAGGCCTCCATGCCAGCTTACAGACTGGCTCTCATCCACCTGCTAACTCCCCCCCCCACAAATCTGGAACTCCTGAGACCATTGTACCCTTGTGAAGCACATGGATGGTCCCTTCAGACTATTCTGGCAGATCCTTCCTAAGCTGCTGGGATTCTGAGACACAGAGGGCCCTCTTCTCCTCCCGCTGGGATCTATGGCTCTGCGACTCAGTTTCCCCCACTTGGCATTCCCATCCCTGCCTTGATAATGGAAGGTCTTTCCTGTCCGCCTCATTCTCTCCTCCTCTGTCATGCCCCCTCCCCCACTGAACCCTATCCCCACTCACACTGGCACTGGTAGTGCTGGCAGCAACCATCCTGGTCATCCACCTTCAGGGGTGGGTAGCCATTGGCACAAGATGGTGCCTTCACTTCTGGACACTGGCGTGGGCTCAAGGAGACGACATTGTTGCCCTCACAGGTGGCTTGGGAACAGTTAGGCATGTGCCAGGTCTCCCCTTTCTGTAGAAACAAAGCCAGCTGTGGGTCTAAGTCCTGGAGCATGGGGCCACCCTTCAGTTCTCAGTGTTTTGTGCTTCCATTCCAGTCCCTGGCCTCACCTCATCCCTGCAAACATCTGGAACGGCTATAAAGGTTCACTGTGTGGAACTGCTCCTCCCCTGTACGTCACCCTTTTCCGTGTGCCACTACATCCATGGAGTGCATCATGCCCCCTGCCACCTTCATTCTCACTGGGGGCAGGTTTAACCTCCAGCTCCAACACCCAACTACTCAGCAAAAACGTCCACACCTGCAAAGCATGGACCAGCCCTGCAAGGCCATAAAAGAACCAAGCCTAAAGCTCATCTTGTGCCAGCCAGGAACTGGTGATCTTCATGAGAACTCAAGCTGGGGTTTAATTGCAAATACACAAAGGTCTCCAAATGGGCCAGGAGTCTCCAGGAAGGATGGGAGAGAGACTTACTGTTCTTGGAGGAAACAAATTGCACCGGTCCCTCGCAGGGACAGGCGGGGCGGGAGATGTAGATGTGGGCAGAGGTGATGTCGGGGGCGTCATGGTGGAGGGGCAGCTCCCACTAACCCCTCTGACCACCTGGCAATCCTGGCTGCACAATGCGTAGTAACAGTGGCCATCGAGGTCTGTCTGGTTGTAGATGATGGATCCTGCAAGATCGAGAGGTGTGTAGAAGCTGGGGAGGTCCTGAAAAAAAAAGTCTGCTTCCCAGAAGACAGTGGGCTGTGAGCCTCAAGACCTCCCACTCAGTCAAGGAATGAGACTAGAAATGTTAGAAGGCAATTCTGGCACCATCTGCCAAAAGCAAAGACATACACAGGCATTCTACTACATAAAGACATCTCACTTACCCAAAGTGTATAACCGGCCCGACACGCTGCAGAAACAAGGCGTGGTGGTAGAAGGTACGCTAGGGCTGGACAGGGAGGTTGTGGGCACAGATGAGGGCGACACAACTGGAAATGAGGGCTTATGGGATGATGTCACAGGAGCAGTCCCATAGGTCTCAGGGCAGCCTTCGGGGACATGACAGCACAGCACTCGAACCTCGTAGTTGAGGCACATCCCAGACATGCCCTCCTGGTCCCGGTTCCTGCACACGAGGCCCACGCTGGG